AGTGGACATGGGGGATATCCATGTAAATCGTTTCTTTTCTTATACCTTTTGTTGTTAATACAGTCGTTGCTAATGTTCATTTTCTTATCTCATTGCTGTTTCCAGGAAACTGTTCTTGTCTCAACCTGTGATCTTTGCCTTTTCTGTCTCTGATTGGAGGGAGGAGAGGAAATGGTGCGTGGTTTTAGTAGGAGTACTAAATTGGAGAAAACCATTCCTAAACCACGACGCTGTATTACAGAATCTAGTGGACTGCATGCCCCTGGGCAAAGGGATGCCACTGTGAGGGAAGGGAAGTGATGAAGTCAGGGAGAAGCTGCATATACAATGCACAGAATTGCCTCCCTTTCCTTGTAGGATATGCCAGCAAGAGAACGACTGACACGTGGCATGGGGGAAAGGCAAAAGATGAGGAAAGGATCCTTCTAAGATCTTGCCAAAAAATAATTATGTGCTTCAGCTGCGCAGCATTTGTTTTACTTGGTAATCTTGTAGAAGAGCCAAGAAAGTGAACAGATAGGATTTTCCTCCTGCTTGCCCTGGTCTCATGTGTTTGCTTATCAAACTGAAAGCCAAGTTGCAAGGGAGCAGCGTGGGAAAGCCCAGTTGTGAGCACAGCATTGAAGACAACAAAGGATGGGAGACAGCTATGGACTGGTGTGGCTGGAAGCCAGGGAGTTGTGTCCTGCTGATTTCCAGCCGTGCTGTGGGGAGTTAACCAGCTCCTCCATTACAAGCAGTGTTTCAAAGGTATCCCACTGCAGCACTCTCTGCAGCAGCTGCTCCTCGCCCGCTGCATTCAAGGTCCTTGTATGGCCCCCAGCACATTTTCCTGACAACATTCCCGCTTGATTAAAGAAAAACAGCAGGCCCAGACTTCAGAAATTGAGTATGACATAGTCTGAAAACTGCTGTATCTTCTCCGTGTCTGTTGGTCTGTGATCTTTGCTGCTTTGAGTGCATCCAAATATAACTTGAAAGAGAGGCATAGCTTGATTATTGCCAATGTGAGTAGTTATTGATCCAAATGGCTGCTGGAAAGGAAGGACAATAGAGAAATCACCTTCTGCAATCCACATGTTTAGACCTCCTGGCTGCTTGGAAAGGAAGGATGATAGAGCAACCACCTTCTGCAATCCACATGTTTAGACTTCCTGCCTTATTTTGCTTGAGCTAATGGCCTGAGACTTGTATCATGGCATGGCAACAAAGAAAATCCTCTGCCTGCTCTAAAGCTATTGGCCCCTTTGATATTACAAATAATTAAGAATACATAAAACATTTGACTTTAAATATATTTTGCTAACTAAGCCAGCTCATACTCTAAAAGAAAAGCAGCTCCTTATCCTTTGGTTGACCACATGCCCTTGACACCAAGGAATGGCAGCCTTGGGGCCACTCTGAATTGCCATGGACCTGCTTTTAAGTAGCCAGGGAAAATAGTGGCTCATTTTCTTGCTGCAGCTGCTTCTCTTGTTCCCTAGCACCATCCTGCTGAAGATGCTGCAGGAGACTGGGAGATGCACCTCTCCCTCCCTCCTGACCCAAGGAGGAACAGCACTGCCCCCTGCCCACACCTTGGACCTCACAGCTCCAGCACCAGGGTGGAAAGGGCAGCTGCAAAACGCCCTCACTCCCTTCTCTGGTGTCTCACTCCATGCCCAATACGAAAATGGTTTCAGCAGAAAGCCCCCATATAGCTGCCCCATCTCTGCTTTAGTTAGATTTTTACATTATGGCTATTTTCTATAGGTGATGTAGCTAATTCCCAGGCTTTGATAATTTGTTTTTCAACTTTAATCAGATGTTGTCTAGAAAAACAGGGTTCTTATGGTTTGTGATTTATTTTCATTTTTATTTTTGTTTTGCTCTGGCGTGTAATTTTTCTTTGGTTGGGGGTTTTGTTTGTTTGTTTGTTTTAAAGGGGATTTTTGTGTTCTGTCTGTGTCTCAGTCTTTACCATCCTTTTTTGCACTGCTGGACTGGCACAACCAGGTGGGGGGGATCTTTTGCTGTATGTTTAAAATGTGTGTTAAAATATATCGCTTATGCTAGATTTGACCAAAAGTGATTTCAGATTTCCACCAGGAAACTTTCAAATATGGACTTGCCCTGACAGCTGGCTTTATAAATAAAAAGTCATTTGCCTTAAGGAGAATTTGAGACAAGATCACTAAGTACTTTATCTGATCTGTAGCACAGAAAAACACAGTACATAATAAATATATATTTGAATTTACAAAAGTGTGACCTCATCGCAGCCTGTACAGCCCAAATGTGAAACAGAACTGCATCTGCCTTTATGCCTCTGGGTAACATGACCCTGTGTGTACATATATATACAAATAGCATTTTAGATCTATCTGGACATATATATATATATATATATATATATAAAAATATATTTCAACTTGAAAAGGTGGGCAGCTAACCTGGTTTTCTTCCCACGATAGGTATTGGGAGATCTCTCTGGACTCTGGTTTACTGTCCACCAGCCAAAAGAAGTTAGTTGGCCCATGCTTCAGGTAGCTCAGCACTGGCTGGAGTGGAGCTCTGCTGAAGTGATCCACAGAAATGTATTGATATGCCCAAGATGCTACTTGCTTTCAGCAAGCTTTAAAAACTAGCTGGAAATCTGCTATATATATAAAATTATTTAAAAAATTATACATGAAAAGTGCCATGGGATTGGATCCAGCATCCACTGCTACAAAATGCAATGGGAGAAGAAGTGTTTGTGTGGGTAGTCTGACCCTTTTTCAGTTAAACTGCCATCGCTCCTGGAGGCATCACAGGGACTAGATTTGTTATTTGTACTTCATTCTGTTCAAAGATATGGGCTTAGTTATATTTTAACTATTGGTTAAGTACACAGGACAAACCTGTGTACTTAACCAGTAGTTAAGTACTGTGAATGGATCCAGATTAATAATATTTACAAATATTTGTAACTAACAGTAATGACTTCATATCTGTGTGCAGGATGTTACATGTGAGATTAGATACAAGCCCAAAACAGTAATCAGTTCCATAACAGCTTTTAATAAACAGAAATTTGAATAAAAGTGTTTAGAAAAGTACAGAATAAAGGCAGAAAATCTCTTTCCTATTAACAATTGGTATAAATCACAAGATGTCTTGTTTTACAGGTATAAATTGCAATCTTCAATCCATTTTTATATAGAAAATATCACAGTTAAAGCACAGCACTGCTGGAATATAGGTATTAACCCCTCCTCAGCTTTTCCCTCTTTCATAGCAAAGAGAAAAAAATACTTTCCTCATGTTTCCAAAATTAATTATTAAAGGAGGCACTGAGAAATTGAATTACCCCTAAAAAAAGTTTTGTTACACTATCACTTAGTGTCATAGCTTTGATAAAAACACTATTTAATAAAGAGGAATTCAAACCACACTGTGACCAGTGCCTAATAGAGTTTTAACTGATTATTCAACTGTTATCTGTTGACTGTAAATGATGAGTAGAAGCTATGAAAGTGTTTGCAAGCTGATGGTAGGTCACAGAATCATAGAATGGTTTGGGTTGGAAGGGACCCTAAAGATCATCTGGTTTCAACTCTCCTGCTATCGGGACATCTTCCACTAGACCACATACCTCAGAGCTCCATCTAACCTGAGCTGATTTTAATTCTACAGTTATTTAATTCTGTAGTTATGGTTCTATTGTGTTACTCCTCTAGGAAGAGACTAGGATTTATTTGACTTGGAGGGAACAGTTTGAAAATATAGAGTTGAGCAGAGAGATCACAGGGTGGAGATGGGGTTGTTTTGTCCAACTCGCAGCATGGTGAGAGGCATCCTGTTACCTCTGCAGCTGTAAGGACATTGAAGAATAAACTCAAGATTGTTAAGTATAAAAAAAATATTTGGAAATTCTTTCTCTTTCCATTTGGCATCTGAATATAGGGAAAAAAACACACTACTTTGGCTGCAGTAAGTTTTACATAACGTAATCTCTAATCAGAATCCAGAGCAGAGAAAAACATCATGTACACCTTTTGGAGGTGTCCTCTTTTATCTGGAGTAACAAAAATGGATTTGGGTTCAGTTGCCTCTCTCTGTCATGTGCAAAGTCCATAACTACCTCTTGTGCTTTGTGGTTTCCAGCCACCAGGCAGCTTCTGTGTTCCTCCTCCTGACATTACTCAGAAGTCTGCTGTGCAGATCTTAGGTCTGTGCATAGCATCTGATGGAATTTCTGACCCTACCTGTGACCTCTACACTGAGATTTATTTATCATCCTAATGCAGAGAAACATTAATATGATGCATTCTCTCGTAAGTCTATAGTTTCTGAGCTTATGGACTTGGAAATGTAAGAAAAAATATTTGTGGCTGTGATAGTCATGACGTGTACAGCAGGATATAGAGAATATGACATCTCTTCAATGAGATCATGTATTACAGTGAAGTCCTACCTTGAAAGGTGTGTATTTAAAAACTACAGCACTGGTTGTTTATTTTGATAGTGAATTTTAGTTATGATTTATGCAATAGAGAATGCCTCTCTGAAAATAGAGGAAGGTGCTGTTTATAACAAAACTTCAGTAAATAATACTTCAAGTTCTTTTCTCATGCTGACTTCCAAGCTTTCTAGGGATGGCAGGTACATATGTAGAGGCAAAGGAAGGCGTTGTGATACCCAGTCAGCCCAGTAAAGTGACAGTCTTTCAAGCCACTTTGCACACTGATTTTAAAAAAGCAAATAAACTGACAGAGGTAGCAACACATTTATAGATTCAAAGACCAGGGCACAGGCAAATCTTAAATTGTTATGAACAACACATTTCTTAGCTTATAGAACTCAAAAATATATTTATGATAGAATCATAGAATGGTTTGGATTGGAAGGGACCTTAAAGATCATCTTGTTTCAACTCCCCTGCCATGGGTTGCTCCAAGCTGCACCCAACCTGGCCTTCAACACTTCCAGGGATGGGGAATCCAGAGTCTCTGGGCAACCTGTTCCAGGGCCTCACCACTCTCACAGTAAAGAATTTCTTCCTAATATCTAATCAAAACGTCCCCTCTGTCAGTTTAAAGCCATTCCCCTTGTTCAATGACAAGCCCTTGCCAAAAGCGACGTTAGTTTCTGGAAAGAAGACTCAATTTTTTGACTCCGTTGCCGTTGTCATCGAGGTCAGACAATCTACGTTTCGCTCCTCCCAGTCCGAAGAAAGCTCAGTCCCTATTCAGGACCCTCTTCCTGAGGAGGCGGAGCCGTGACAGGACCACATCCCAGTCTGCATAGGCACCTTCCAGGTGACGTGTCACTCCCGAACCCGAGGGGTAGCTCTGGCGGCCGTGAAGCACGCGCCAGTTATCGAACGTCACTATGTCTCCTGGAAAGAGATCGCACCGAGTTCAGTAGCTGGAATGTCAGAGTGGGATCCTTCGAACAGACAGGGAGGTAGGCTCACATCAACAGTCAGGGAGCAGTAATTTCAAGTAGCTCAGCTGGACATACGCACCAACAACACAGTAATTTTAACTTAGTTGGTCGTTCTCAAACAGAGGGCAGGTCCTTTCTGACGTCTCTTTTCTTGTATAACCAGGATTTAAAAAGCAGAGTGGTAGAGAGCACATGCTGAGAAAAGCAAGCCTTGAGGAGAAAGACAACTACAGCAAATCCACACGGGTGAAATAAAAACGTGTGAAATAAATAAAATGGGTGAAAGCCACTCGGATGCTTTTTATTTGATCAGTCTGGTATTATTTGTACTGAACACATCCTGTGCTACTATCCCTGTTAAGAGAATTCTATGAGAACAAAGTCAAGCCATTGAAAGTTAGGAAATCACTGAATTAAGGTTGGAATGCAAATTTAATTTTTCTCCCTTGTGTGCCAGTGTTGTGATAAATCTCTAATTAAATTACCTTACAGTCTTTCTTTTCTTCTCCCAATTCCCTCTACCACCATTTTGGTGCATTAGTCAATAGGATGGATGTCACTAATGTAATGTAAGGTACTTTGTTTCACTGTTTATTATGTGATCTTACACATTATTTTATTGCATGTTCCCAAGAGCAAGAGATTAATTTCCTCATAGACATTTTAAAGACACTAACATCACAGTATGAGGCAGTCAGATACATTAATGAATCTACTTTTGTAACATCTCTTGAGAGATGAGGGACTATTCATATCTTTATTTTATAGCTGGGGAATGAAACAAGAAGTATATTTCCCATCTGTGGTGCTATTGACATATCAATTTCCAATACTGTATTTGTATAAAATGTAGTTTTGGATGTTGCATAAAGATACATTGGACTAATCAACAGAAAGACTATACTCCCCCGCTATTTTTATTTCTTTATAATGTAACAATGGCAAAAGTAATCTATTAGATGACCTTAAGACTGCAGTATGAAATAAAACAGTCGAGAGAAGGACTGAAATTTCCTCTCAGTGCTAACAATGCTCAAGGGTTTTGACAGTTAGGAAAAACATGTGAAAAACTGTTGAGAGGAGAAGCAACTTACTGACCTGGTTTCAGCTTGTAAGTAAACTTGTGTTCTGCACTGTTTAATAAATCATTAAATTCCTTTAGAGCTGCATAAAATGGCCTCACTTTTTCAGCTGGTATGTCAAACACGGCATCTCTTGTTGCATTATTATAATTGATGCGAACTGCTTGGCCTCTGGAATCTATGCTATGAAACAGAGGGAAGGGAAAAAGGCAAGGAAAGGGAAAAGGAAAGAAAAAGAGGAAGGGAAAGGGAAGGGGGAGAGGAAGGGAAAGGGAAGGGGAGGGGAGGGAAAAAAAGGTATTCTGTTATTATTGAAACACTGTAACATGATTAAACAACAACTGAGCTCTCCTGCTGGAATGTCAGTATGTTTCAATAGTGAAATTCAGATTGTTATTGGGTTGAATTTTGATAATTGAACCTAATCAGGAAAAGGGATAATCAGGAGAAAGTGTAGACACTTAATTAGCAAAAAAAAAATCTATATTACGTACCCTTTAATTGTAGAACGATAAACTTTTTAAAATCAGAAAAGAATATGAACGTTTGCATTTGATCTTTTGATAGTATGTAGTTCTTAATCTAAATGTTTCAAATTACAGCCTCTCTTTGGCATGATACAGATGTCACATTGGCTGGCATTTAGTAACAGACTTGTCTGCTGCTAACCCATGCCTGTGCCAAGGAGTTGTTCTAATTACCACCACTTCTTGCAAATAAGTGGAACAATGCACAGAACAAATCACACATTGGCAAAAACCCCACAAACAGAAAACCCCACCAAAACCCAGAACTGCAGACCAAGTTAAACCAGTGTTTTCCCACAAGGTGGCAGGAGCAGACCTTCTTCTACCAAAATGTAATCCACAACACAACAGGGATTTTCTTTTTAGGTCTTGTTGAAACTACTCACTCTATAATCCTTTGTTTACAGTGCACAGCAAAATCACAGAAGTCCACCCCAACATCAGTGTAGTCTACAGCAGTAGAGGAGAGGATCTGATATGCCTCAGGATTTTGTTTCTTCAGCTTGTTGGATATGTGGAATCCATCTACAACCTCACTTTCACCTCCTGTAGCTGTTTGCTTTATACAGTGGAGAAACTGGACCTGGAATGAATTAACGGTTCATTTAGAAAAGCAATTAGCTTGCATATTTAACAGCTCATTAGTATCAGTTCCCTCATAGCTGTGGTTCTTTTTTTTTTGATTTGTTGTTGTTGTTTTCCCAGTGAAAGCCTGAGTTCCCATTTACTGCAGCTTCACAACACTGTGCCACCACTACCACAAAGGAAGAAAATTAAAGCAGCGTGTCCATAAATCCATCCCCTTTTGGGTATACTCTAATGGTTGCAACCTGTAAGTCAGTGGCAAAGTGGTCTTGCTTCTTTCCTTTGAGTCCCTCTTTGTGGCAGTCACATAGTTTTAAATGCATTGAGGTCTTATGTCAAAAAGGAGGATTAGCTTTGTCCTGCAAAAACAACACCTGCTGTGAACTGTCCACTCATAGAGGGAAAAGGTGGCTGTCAGAGAAGGCAACAGGCCCAGTGTCTCTCTCATAAGGTACGATTAAGACAGTTTCATTTCACTTCAGAGTGAATTTGCCAAGGAGCAGAAAGCCTAAACTGGGCTCTGGTGTAGTTTTACTGCTGACACAAGCAGTAAAAGTCCCCGTGGCTGTAGAGAGTCCAGCACCACCCAAAGTATAATCGCTCGTCTTGCAAACGACACAAAATACACCCGTCACACCAAAGCTTGTTTCCTTTGTCACTTGTTCCCCCTTCCATGCTGGTGAATTATTTCTGAGATCACTAGGAGAATTAAAAAAGAACCCAACAAAAAACCAAAACCAAAACAAAACAACCAAAAAACCAAAAGCAAAATGACAAACCAAACAAACCAAACCCACAACAAACCTCAGCAGGAGAAAGAGGAACAGAGAAGAAGATTTGTTCTCCTTACCAGCTGGACCCACAGACCTTGCTGATGGTGATGAAGGGGGAAACTGAAGCTGTGGGCAGGCCATAGGGCTCCCACTGAAGGGAGCACAAGGCAACAAGTTCTTTTGTGGCCACAGCTGGCCTTGCACAGGGTAAGCACAGCTTGGCCCTGCTAAGGAGGGCTGCAGTAATGTAAGTCACGTTATGGTCCTAGAAAATCCTAAAACAATTTTTATGGGACAGTTCTGAAACTAATCATTATCCTTTTAAACACAGGCCTTCACATATTTGTAATAAATACGTTTAAAGAATTCAAGTATTGTGTAATAACTAGATATATAAAGAAAACTGCACATTTGGGACAATGTTCATAAACAATTCAATGTACTTTAATACTTTTATTTCTTACAAGCACGTTTGAATGAAAAATGTTACACTCTTTTTCTCATATTTCATAGTAGAGTGTGAGCTTTGGCACAGACTGGACAATGAGATAATTCACATCTGCTCTCTATTAATGAAGTGCTGTTCCATTCTTACTCTACATCAACAGTATCTAAATGATGAAAAGGTATTCTTAGTGTGAAGAATTTAGTACTTACCTGTGGGTAAATCACATTGGCTTTTTCTTTAAGCACAGAAACAACAAAGTACTCCACAGCAAGAGAAGGGGAAGTTTTATAGGTGCAAACTTTTCCAGCATTGTCTTTGTTTCTTTTTACCTGTTTCTACTACTTTCCAGTTCTCTGGAATTATGTGAATTATGTAGACTACACTTTGATATGACAGGGTGAAAACATATTTTTTGTGGTTGTCCAGTTTTAAAGAATGGCCCTTTTTTTTTGTCTGTTATGAAAGGGCAAACAAGTGTCTATCTTGTATCAATTCACAGAAAACAGAGTATACCATCTTAATAATATTTCTTCCTCTATTCCTCTCCTGAACTGAACAGATGAGTCCTAAAAAGTCACAACTTGACTATAGCATTTAGACAGCTACCTTTTGTAATATAATGAAAGCAGTATTCAAAACATACACAGGACTCTGAAGTTTTCTCATATGGTAATATTTTCAACACTTCATGAATTTAATTTAATCATTATGGGACATATAATGGGCTTATTATGCTGAACTTACATCATACTGCATACATTGCATGCCCATGTGCATATATTATACGTGTATTAATACATTGTTATTTTTACATTGCTCTTTTAAGACAAAATTCAGAGTCACTGAATGCTAAACATATTTCACACTACAGGAACATTTCCCTTTCCCCTTTTGTGGGCTGAAAAAGTCGGCAGATTCAACTCACCCCAGGTGGATGATGCAGAACAGGGTAATCAGTGTGAAAACACAGTTTCCCAGTTGTATAAGCTACATTGTTAGCATCTGCTTTGTCTTGCACTTGCCAAGTTGGTCTTCATAATGAAAGGGAAAAGAGAAAACATGTTGGAACAGCATGCCAGACAGTACACACTGAAACTGTGAAATCACAGCAGAAAAGAGTAATTTCACCTTTGAACATGAAAATATTGTAACATTATAAAGAAATCAGGATTTAGCAGTGTCCCTCCACCCCAACAAAGGCTTATTTCAGCAGCCCTAGATAAACTTCAGTGTGCCAAGGGACATCTGTCCCCAGTGCAGTACCTAGAAGAACAATGGCTTTCCAGTGGTGGCTTTTTGCTGAATGTAAAGGCCAGTTGAAGACACAAACCAAGGGGCTTCTGCCAGGAGAAATCATTATCTTAGCACTGAGGCTTCAGAAATAAGCAAGTTGAAATTGGCCCGTTCCTTTTTATTAACCTTCCACTTTCCTCTGCCACATGTAGCACATTATCAATGAAGTATAAAACTGATAAAGGCTATGTAACTTTCCCCCAAATTTATTTTTAAGGCTTTATAACCTTAGAAAATATAGAGTATCTATCTGCAGGGGGATCTTTCCTCTAACTCCAAGACTTGCCGCTGGAGGAAAATAACTGGATGAAAGACTTTGAAACTTCTTCCCTTTTGCTGACACTCTCTAGTCCCATTTATTTGGTTACACAAATTGTCTTGGAATTTGACAAAATTCAGTAAAACTGTTTTCTGACAACTGCAGTGAAAAAAAAATAGGTCACGGTGATACGACGAAGACGCGAATATTTCACCTTGCAGCACAAACAAAATGTGTTTCCAGTGACACACCGTGCAGGAGGGATTTAAGACCAAGAACCACAGGTTTTGTTTGTACAGAGTTCACAGGACTGAAGACAGTCCTCAGCAGATGCATATTATAGCTACAGACATATGTCTGAAAAAGTGTAGGTCACCATATGCAGCCCATGTAATCGCAGGCGTGTAAGTGGTTTAAAAGGAATTATGAAACTCCTTTTCCCTTGTGAAATACTGTAGACCAAATATATTAGGTTTCAGATGGTGTATGTCTAGCTTTACTTCTTAAAAACAGTTTAAAAAGAAAATATGCTAGAGAATATGCGGACAAAAATTATTTATATACAGGACACAAACGCTTTTGTTTGTCGGTTTTGAGTGGTATTTAGTATAGAAACTATGCAAAATGCTAAAACTAAATTTCTTCACTTGCCAGAGGGAAAAGCCCCTTGAATATTTGCAAACGTGCTTAACTGCCTGGGAGAAATAGTTTTTACTATTTGGTACAGCAAATATTCATCACTAGATGACCTCACTACTCAAGCATGATAATTTCAACCACACTTCCACAGTTCCAAATTTGACAGCCAAAAACCAGCCCCTTATATCATCCTTGTGCTTAGTGTTGAGGGCAGCTAGGTTTGCTCCATCTTTAATTTAATAGGCTACAATGTCACTTGATGGTTCTAAAAAAAATTAAAACATTTAAATTTTCTTATTTATATGCCATATATAAAATTGCTGGAGTGGTAATACTCTATAAAATCATTATAAGGTTTTGCAAAAGCTTTTGTGCTGGCAGAGTTTGTGAGGGGATCTGGTCCCCTGGAGCTTTCCTTCCATACAGAGAGCTTTGGTCAAAGTTCAAGTTACTGACTTGAAGTCAGAGATGCTAATAGGGAGCTCAGCACTGAATGTGAAAAAATCAACTTCACTTTGTCTAAATCTCAACTGAGCTGAAGCATCAACTCGGCCACGAGGAGAGCACACAAGAAGTAAGGGGAGAATATGCAGGTAATGCCAGAGGACTCTTGGCCTTTAGGGAGAGCAAAGCTGGGTGGAATGGTTTGTGGTTTAGTAATTAGGGTCAGATTTCAAAGCCCGTTGCTCCGGCTGTTTGACAGAGCAGGAAAATTGGCACCAAGCAGATGTAGCAATCTTTTGCATTAAGTAGCAACAGGGGCTCAGTGTCCCTGAGCAGAAAAACAGGCTGTTACATCCTTAGTCCTGCAAAACTGCTGAACTGGCAACTGAAGCCACATCTGAATCATCTGATCTTGCACTTCATTAAAAGTCCATGTCTCACTCATTTGAGAACTGGGGCCCATGTCCCCTTGCCACCGAAGCCCTCTGGGATATACAGATGGATTGGCTGTTTCCATGGGAGTGCTGGTGCTCTGAAGGACGGCCTTCATGCCACACCAAGGACTGGACAAGGCTTCAGAACAGAGGAACACGAGGTTCGGAGCATGAGAAGTTGGAGAAATAAACTGTGTTATGACTGGAGACTTTGTTAATGGAGTTGGGCCTCCATAAGGGAAAGAAAAAGGTTAATTTAAAAGCATGGAAACCCTTGATGTTGTCATATGGCTGGTACAGAGAATGTTTCCACTTTTTACAGTAATGATATTTTAGGGAGCTTGCACCAAGCACACATCTAGACAAGAAAAAAGGCTTTTTTTTTTTTTCCATGTGTCAGAATTATATTAATTTCTGTTACATTTTAGTTTAAAATTCATGGCTCTGAGGTAATGTTTTATTTGGCAAGCTTGCCAATTCCAGGTTTATCCTTTTATTTATAATATTTGGTAGGCCTTGTATTTGGCTGCCAGTGAAACAGCAAGGAAATTACCCAAAGTTATTATTTTATTACAGTTGTAAAAGCCACCCCAGAATTGGATGCCAATAAGAAATTAAATCCTGTTCCAGACATGAAAATTATTATACCTATTAGCTAATAACACTGCTTCTTTACTCAGCTAGATGGAGGTCACTGACTCAGCTCAGCAAGACGTGAGCTGCCAGCCTCGTTTGTCTACCCACCTAGTAAGGTGCTTGAGGAGTTAGAAGTGCAGTTTATTCCCTCTTGGCATCAAAAGGATGATTCACAAGTTCCTGCTTGCACTCCTGCAACTGAGCTCTGCTTGTTGGGATTGGTTATGGCTTTTCAGAGCAGACTCTGTTGAAAGCAGGGAAGGGGGTGCTCTGCCCATATTCTTGGTGACGTGAGACACAACAGCATCATCTAAGCCTTACCTATTTCTGTGACTTCAAACTAGACTAAAAAAAAGTCTCAGTACAGATAACTTCCTCTTTTCAGAAGGGGAGTGGATTAGGGATTTTTGGTTTTGTTCCATGGTATAGATAAGTAACTCTATCTTTTTGTTATCTTATATTTGACATCATCTGTTTTCAGATGCTTCTCCTTCTCTCAGCAGCTAATGTTATTGCTGCTCTTCTTCACATCTTTCTGCCCTGCCAGTGACAACGAAGCAATCCTCTTGTACAGAATATAAACTCGATGCCAGATTTTCTAAAGTACAGAGAAAAAAACCCATACACCTTGCTTTAATAACTTAATCCACAAAATAGATCCAGCAAGCTTAAATGAAGAACATTAGAGGTGATTACAAAGCTTGCAAAGCAAAGATATTAAAAAACAAAACTCACCCATAAAAAGTGAGGCGCAGGAACCCAATCCTGTGGCCAAGTTTAATCAATTCTCCCTGCCTTGTAGCAGCTCCTGTCAGCAGAACGATTCCTACTTTCTTTAGGGTGCACAGCCACTTGTATGCACTTTCATCATTGTTCATGACTTCTTCAAAAGGTATTTTGGGGCGCAGGAACCCAATCCTGTGGCCAAGTTTAATCAATTCTCCCTGCCTTGTAGCAGCTCCTGTCAGCAGAACGATTCCTACTTTCTTTAGGGTGCACAGCCACTTGTATGCACTTTCATCATTGTTCATGACTTCTTCAAAAGGTATTTTGGGAAGTTGAAGGTCTGAGCCCCAGTACTGGCGTTCTGAAAGGAAAGAAATGGAGAAAACAAGTGCTTAGCTGATCTAGCATCAAAACTCAGGACATAGTAGAAGTCTGAAGTTAATGGGATTTCTATGCTTTTGTGAATATGCTCTCAGTCCTGCAGTCAATCACCTAAAATGGGGTCCCTGAGTTTGCATGGATGACAAGCAAGCTTTATGATAAAATTCAGCAAAACGTTGCGCTAACGGAATTTTAAGCATCATCAGAGACTAAAAGGGATCAAACACCTAGACCAGTGAAAAGTGAGTAGTGTAGCCAACTCACACTATGTAGCATACAGGAGGTTTAGGAAAAAACTACCAATAGAGTAATTTGTCCCTGTGGAGAAGCCAGGACAAATCAGGATGCTGTAGGAAGCACCTCTTTGTTAATCATCTGTTTAGAACTTCTCATTACATATACTTTAAGATTTTCAGAGACATACACCAAAATCAAATTCACTTCCTTCAGTAAAAGGCAGTGCTGTAGCCACCCATTACTGCAGGCAAAAACCACATAATAACTAAACTAAATCCTCCTGATTCTTTGTTTTCCCCTAAATATCATAGGCCAAGATCACTTTGTTAAAATAATAAAAGGTCATTCCATGCCCCCCATCCCACCCCCATTTTTTTCCCCACAGACTAATGCTGCCAGGACCAATTTTGCTAAACAACACTGAAACCATACCACCTAGGTTTTAATGGCTCCAGTGCATTCAGCCAAGAACTCAAGGGATCAGTAATGTGGAAAGCAAAAAGGCAGGAAGTTAATCATGGAGCATGGAGTAAGCCTCTCACCAGGATACTTTCTGGAGCTTAACAGGGGTTAGTGGAGTTAACTTTCACTTAATTTGTCTGTGTTACTGGTAGAGGACACTGGAAGCCACAGTTGTGGGTCACATTTGATACTTTACAGATTATACTGATTTTCTTCTGCAGCTCATAGAATTCCAGAGAACATCCTAACGTAGTGAACCTGGACCTCTGAACCCATCCTGGTCTTTTCTTTATTTCTTTATTCATAGGGATTTTAAAGGAGTACAGGGTTTAAAGCCAAGTGAAATCACTGCCCATGCAGATATAAACATACACACCTGTTCAAACCAAAGATGTTGCACAGTAATGGGTAAAAAGAACAAAGATGCTGTTTCTTACTTTTTTTGTTTTGCACAAAGTTAGCACTGATTCTAGTTTTTTGCAAAACTTGAAAGATTATTATTTTATGTCAAGCATTCTCTTAAATATTGAATCAGAGCTCTTACTGTTACAGTAAAGATATAACTGTTTTTCCTTGCTTTTAGTCTGAAACAGCTAATTTTTAGGAGAGTGCACTGCAAAGCAGGAAAACATTTTATCTATTTCATAGAATAATTGCTTTATTTAAATCACAACTACCTTACTTGGTATTTTAGCTAACATTCAGTTAAGTTGCCCAGTCATCAATCACAGAGATTACACACCAGAAATGAGACCATAAACATTTGAGAAATGCAGGTGGCATTCTTTATAAAACACCTATATCTTCCTTTATGTCAACATCTCTTCAACAAACAGGACCAATCAAAACTATTACAAATTCCAGGGAGCTTTCAAATGAGAGCTCTGGGGAATTTCACCTGGTGACTGAGGGACACAATATACTTCAAACAAATGTGAAGGCCAGGTTTGGGGTTTCTTTTTTATCTCTTTCTAGATATAGGCAGAAAATACAAAATACAAGGTACTCATAAAAAATTGAAGCCAGACACTACACAGTTACAGCATTTTTCAACCACTAGTGCTCCTCTTTCCTTTGGCCAGTGCTAGCTAGAGACAGTCCAAGAAACACAACACATGCCCAAATATAACCTATCCATATAGACCATCTTCTATACTCTACCTGTGTTTCAAAAAAGTTGACGTATGATTGACAAGCTGTTGAATTTTTAACATGCAAAAAATGAAAAAAGTGCAATCCTTGAGGAATGATATAATCTCACCTCACTGCTCCACCGTGTTTAACTCAAGACAGCCTTTCACACACTTGAAAGATGGTGAAAAGATAAAATATGAACGTTTTCCCTTTTCTCTGTTAAAAGTTATGAAATTGAAATAGCCCTAGGTATGCTGTGTGAACTGCCAAGAACACCCTTTGAAGGACAAATTTAAATTTAAGCTTCACTGTCAGTGCAGGTAAATAATTATGTGAAAATTAATGGAATATTTTAAGTTTCATCTTTTCCTTCTTAGTTTTCTTCCTGTCTTGCTAATAAATATTTTCCTCATCTTCCTGAAATGAGTAGAATTTCAAGGGATATACCAAGACATTTTTCCTCACTTTGAAAAATAAATATATGCACCTGGAGTTGAACTGCAGCTCCAAGAGTCCCAGGCTTCTATGGGTACATGGACTGTCCTCTTGTTGAAGTTCCCAATGCTTACTGCTCTTGCTAGAAGTTCCACCTAATATGGGATGGCCCTTCTGCAGCAGGGCACGGGCTGTGGTGTTGGGTTTTCAGGTGGTTTTGGTTTTGTTACAGACACCTGCTTTGTCACAGCACTGCAAAACAGTGCACACACAGTAAACCAGTCTGGGACTGTGCTGGACTTCAGCAAAACAAAACTGTCAACCCTTATAGGCCTGTAGAGAACATTCAAGGAACAACCACCCATTTCATCCTCCTCCCAGTCAGACCCCCTGCACTGGAGGCCATCATCTGGCCACACACCTCCAAAGCTACGGAGCCAAAGGGACACAAAAGCTACATTCAAATTGTTTCTGTACTTTACTTGCAAGACACCGTAGCTGGAGAAGTAGAATATGGCTCTTTTGCTGTTCTTTTGGGAGTATTTTGTAAGCTGGGCTGAAATGAGCCTTGATATACACAAATAGGAGATTTTGCATTTTGCATGGTAGGATTTGGCAATGTTTTAAAAGGGGAACCTTGACATATTGCCACACAGCTACTTACAGTCACTTCATCATGCACTGAAAATCTGACCTACTCTTCTTTTTGGGTTTGATAAAACATCCAGCATCTAGGGTTTTTGAATCAGAAACCATGATGGAAAAACATTAAAAAACAAAACAAAACAAAACAAAACAAAACAACAACAACAAAAAAAAACAAACCAAAACAAACAAAAAAAAACCAAAACAAAAAAGTGACATTAAAAGCAAGTAACCACTTGCAAAAGAAAATAGAAAAGAAATAGCCACTGCTGTGACAGTGTCAGCAGTGAAGGTTAACCTTTAACTACAGCAGTCTGGTGAGCTTGGGTTTCTATTTGTTGAACCAGCATGCAGGGCTGGTATTCCATATCATTGTCTGTAATCCTATACTGCTGGGATATGATTAGTTACTTAAGGGCATGTAATTTGCAGTGTGTAACTCCCCTGACCACAAAGAAGCGAGTTCTAAACTTACCCCAACGCCCAATGAGAAACAGATCTTAGCCAGCCAGCAAGCAAACTCACAGGCTGCAGCCTTTTTTTTTGCAACTGAAACCTGGGAAAAGTTGGGAAAAGCTGTCCATCATAATGAGCCAAAGCTTTTCTGAGAATATGAGGAACAACAGAATTACACCACTAAAAAAGGCTAGTTAATTAGTGTAATTTTTGTAAACATATTTCTTCACCTCTACCATGTGAAACAGAATTTGAAAAAGCATTGCCCAAAAAATAAAACAGATCTTTGGTGTATATTTTTCACCTGGATGGCTCTACTGGAGAAGAGCAGTGGCAGAGGGGAGAACTGGCTTCCAAAACATGCATTGTATTTAGAAGCCAGGAGTAAGCTCTGTGCAAATGAATGAATGAAGGCAAATCACAGCCAGTTAGACTTCATAACGGGTGAAAAAAGTAGCATGACATCTGAAATACTGAAATCTCAGCTACTGAAGTCTCAACTATTGATATCTTTGTTAATAAATATAACCAGAGATCTAGATTATTTTGCCTGAGTATTAATTAAAGCAATGTTCAATTTACATTGATCCCTCAGAGGCTACAAAAGGGGTTTTGTAGCCTGCCAGTTTCCACAGCATCTTCATTTTTACAAATAAAAATTCAACTCCCTGGGAAATCAAGCCTAGTTTCCCTGAATGAGGTTTGCATCTTCTCCATGTTCAGTCTGGAAACATGCCCAACCCTCCAAAATAGTAAACACAGCAGTTTATTGTTGCCAAAACTAAAATAGATACAAACTTTTATATTACCAGGGAAAAACTGTTCCTTCCTCTACTATGAAGAGTCTGTTATAGGATCCACTGAAATGAATGGAAATATTACTCATCACTTAAGTTTTAAACCAGATATAAAAGGCTGGCTTTTGTTTAGGAGAACGGGTGCTAAGGAATATTTGACCTGCAGAAACTGGGAAATATAACTGGCCTCTTCATTTGTCCCTAAAATGCCAAACAAAGCTCAGATGCAGGACAGATCTAGGGCCACATATTTTCCCATTTCTCATCTTTCAGGGAAAAAAACACGGCACAAACCAACTTTCTTTTATTTGTTAGAATATAAAATACCCAAAAAAAGGGCATAAACCAACTGGGGATTTGCCTTTGCTAAGCTCTGGATCTGAGTTTCACACCATCAGCCTACCTCTAGTTTCTTTTTTTTCTAAAGTAATATCCTATTTTAACAGATACTGTCTTAACCCTGAATACAGATGCACAGCTTTCTGCAACAGCAGATCTCACAGGAACACAGTTAAGAGCAACAGCAGAAATCTTGCAAGTTTTCACACGTTTGATTCTCACAGTCTGAAAGGCTGTCAAAGAAATGAGGATGTGCATCCTGCCAGTCCTAGTGGGGTTACAATTATTCACTCAAAAGGGTGAGTGATTTAGAGTGGGTAAATGTTACAGACAGTTGCACAAAAACGCTTTGTGACCAAAAGACTGCCAACTACTGCAACATGTATGGGATGCAAAGCAAACACAACCTGAACTTCAGCACTGCACACTGCTGCACTACACAGTTACTTTTTAACAAGGCAGCCACAGAAAGGGAAAAAAAATGTTTCAGTTATAGCTCTCTTGCAATTCTAAATAATCTTTCTTTTTGGAAAAATTTAGAAAAAATTAAATAGTTTAAACAGCACACACACACACACACTTACACTTGCATTGTCACACAGGTCACTGTCGGTCCACAAGGCTCATTTGTGAGACCTACCAACCCTATCCTGGAAAGAAAAGGCTTTTAGGAAAGTAAATGCAGCCCAAACAGTTACAGTTCTCTCAGGTACAGAGGTTAGGAAAGGTAACAACGGGTCCCTGTTGTGCACATACAGCCTGGCACTGGGCACCAAGGGTGGCTGCCACTGCTCCAGCTGGGCGGACCTGGTCTTCACACAGGCACCTCTAGCCAGGACTGTCTTGCATTTGACACAAGCAGGACAGACATGGATTTAATTCCTACCTGGTAAAAATAAATCTGCTTGCATTTCTGCTCTGGCTGCTTCAGAGAAGCATCGTTTTTTCAACCACTCAGCTTCATATTCGCTTGCGTGTTCATCAGGCCACGTGATGGAGATCTTTCAACACAAAGCAAAAGACAAGTTTAGAAGAAAAAAAGTTGATTAAAAAACATGGCCTAGAACAACAAAAAAAAACCCCTCTTAGAAACTGCAGAAATTGTAATATTTAGATCGGTAATATTACAATTAAGCATTCCCTGGAATGTGACAGCAAACATCTAATGAAAACATAATCTGAACATCATCCAAATTCTGACACCTTTTATAAATGCTCATTTTCACATGAATCCATGACCTAATTTGCTGGTTTCACTGTGGGAGCTGCACTTAAAGGGAAGAAGGAAAAGGCAGAAACTGGCACATATCTCTGGGGAGAGCACTTCACCACAACTCAGAAGAGTGAAAATATCTTGCAAAACAGACAGCTTGTGAGAAAAGAAATCCCTCTCCTAGCTTTGAAAAGTCTTTCCTCTTTTCAAATAAGTTTTTAAAAAGTGTTGTACTTTTTAAACCCTGAAAAAAAACATGGAAAGAAAGGATATGGCTTTGCTTGTCATGAACTGAAAGAGCTCAGTCCAGCACAGACCCTCAGCTGAATTCTCAGGGCTGTTGAGTAGGTATCAATTCCCATTTCACATAATTCTGCTCTTTCACATGATGGTAAATCAGCACTATCAGTTTAGGATTGATTAGTGCTGTGCTTTCATCAGTCCCTGAGTGGAACACACAATCCCTAATTTTCCTAATAGAATAATGAATTTACATTGTGTTAATTCTGGTAACAACCTTTGGAGCCCAGAATTCCTCACCAGAGATCCTTATGCTGTGGCTGAGACACACTCCTGCATGGTTTAGCCCCTGCAAACTGCCCCTGCAGAGAGGCTGCCCCAGGGTTGACTGCTGAATATTCAACACATTTAAAACATCTTTAAGGGTAAAATTAGGGAAACGAGTTTGCCAAAGGAGCCAGGTGCTTCTTTTAATAAAACATATAAAACCTAAATGATATATTAGGTTTTTATATGGCAGGAAATATTAAAAATCATAGGGAGGGCAATTCCTGTCTTCTCTTGCTCAATAACTTCCCCTTTTCCAGGAACAAATGTTAATGCAGATAGGTAGATATCAACACTAGGCCAATTCTGATTATTGGATGCAACTTCAGTTTGAGAGTTCATTCTAAGATGAAGACTTTTGTGCATTGGAAATTAGCTAATAAACTGGTACCTTTGCTATGGATTAAGTCATTGTCACTTTGCCATTTGTTTTTCTGATTTTCAAGCCATTTACTTAAAGAACAAAGAGAGAGAGAAAAGTGTAGGTGTAATTAAATGTGCGGGAAACGCCTGAATTTGCCTTTCAACACCTGGTGATGCAGAAGCGCACGGCAGAATTTTCAAAAGCGTTATTATATTATAAAAGCTGAAGCCTGGGTTCCTGCAGCCTTTATAAAGCGAAGTTTCATACGAGGGTGGGGAGATGCGAGTTCCCCAAATTGCGTTTTTTTTTCCCAAAAGCTTTTCAAATTACCCGACGAGGTTCACGGATAAGCAAACTGTGGTTAGAGCGTAAGCCGGAGTTGTCTCTAAGCGTTGTTAGACAAGTTTCACAAGAAGGTGAATCACGGTTCGCTTCAAATACCTTTTTTCCATCTGCCAGAGCCACCTCCTTCACCACGATGTTCACATCCAGGTCCTCGAAGAGCAGCCTGCGCGCTCCGGCGGAGGGCAGGAAGCAGAGGGGACACTGGCAGTTGTCCCTCAGCCAGACGCAGGGGTAGCGGCTCTCACTTCCATCCTCCCACTCCACACGGACAAAATGGCCCGCGTCCAAAGCTTCCACCTTCTGTATTCCCGGGCTCATGCTGAGCTGCTGGGCGGTGTGGAGCCCCGGCACTGCACGCTGGCAGCAGTGGGTGCTCCCAGGGAGCAGGCTCCGGCCCTCCTGCGCCGGCAGCGGGCGGAATGCTTGGCCTCCGGGGACTTTGGCCCTCGACAGGGCGTTAACCACCGCCCTCCACATTTTGGGCTTGTTACGAAACAGGTTATATTCCTTAAAAAAGGCGTCTATGCAGCAGTGGGGAAAAACGTTGAGGAGAGATTTAATCCCTGAAACAGACAGCAGCTGACGGGGAAAGCTCTGGGTGATGTCCATGTGTTAGAAAAACAAATTAAAGTTCAGGGCTTGACATGCGTTGGTGCTCTCAGACCTGGGGGAGGAAGTTAACAAAGCACTGGAGAGAGGGGTAGTGCTGAGAACTGGACACCAGGAATGCAGAATTTATATAGACTTCATGGACATTTTGCAGAAAACAAAGATAAAGGAAAAAAATAACAAAGACAACGCAGCAATGGTACTGAAACTCTCCCTATCTGGGAAAAAAGATAATAAAAAGACTAGAAATGTGGACTAATTACCATGAGAAGTAAGAAATCACTAACAAATAGAAGACAGAATACTAATTAATAGAACTATGTTACTTGCAGCCAATCAACACTTATTCCTTTGTTTGCTAAAACAATAGTTAAAAGTATAAATAGTTAAAAGTTTTGATAATCGGTGTACATGCCAGGTGGAGTGATCCCCCACGTACCTCAGTGCTGAATAAAGAAACATTGACTTTCTAACCTAACAAACTGTTTGGAGAGCTTATTTCCCAGTGTTTGGTGACAGGTTCTTTAACGAAATCATCGGAGGGAGGGAGAATGCTGTCGCTGAGTCCCTAAAACACCCCGAAGAGCAGCTTCTTACTGAAGGAGTCAGGACAGCAAAAACACAATATTAAGCTGATTCTCCCCTCCCTTCCTACTTACTTAGACCTTCAGGGACATTCATCATCTGCTGCTTACAAAGGGTGTACTCAGACCCATCTATTCAAAAATCCTTTCAACGTGATCCATCACCTTGGCTGTCTTTTGTTTCTGTGGTCAGTTTAATACCTATCGCACAAAGACATTAAAAAGACACCTTGAGGTGAGTTCCACAAACCAAAAGTAGGAGCTACTACCAACCACGTTCAAAAGCTGGAGCTTTAAAGTACACACACCTTAATCCCAGCTGTGGATACTAACGGAAAAGAAAAGGAAAAGCTTTGTAATCATGACTTCAGCTACAACAACAGAGTTCTGTGAGAGTTCTTTTCTCCTTTCACAGTCACACTGCTTTCTATGGATTTACTCTTTTATTTAAAGCTAGTTGCATACTGTATTGCAGAAAGATGATGCCTCCAAATCTTAAAAACAGGAAAGTTCTGGCCTAATGTCCTTCTCATTCAGAAAAATTCAGAGGAGGACCCTCTGAATCAGTAAGTCATTACATATATATTTTAATAGATTTTACCGACTTCAAATATTGCATGTTTATTCAGTATCTTTTCCTTTTCTTTTTGTTCTTAAGCTCACAGGGCAAAATATTGATGGTGCACCAGGACCAATCTGTCTTTGTGCATGGAAAACTTCCTGGGCTTCAGTGTTTTGATTCACAAAGGCCTTCTGGAGTTATTCGAACATTTTTTAATTTTTTCCTTCGCTACAATTTAGAATTAGGTTACACAGGGCCCTTGGGCCTCCTTTTGTTTTTATTTCATATGATTGAGTACAGCAAAGCAGAATACTGATTTTTTTTTCTTTCTCATGTTTGAGTATAGTGGTCCCATTGGAATCCAGTAATAACCAACCTTCACTTGCAGTGCAGTCAAGCTAGTTTTGTGCACACAGACCCAAACATCTTTTATCCAACAAATGGGTTCATATCCAGACTGAATGTATTCTTTTTTTATACAAATATGTACAGAAATATACACATGTAAATGCATATGTACAGATTTCCACCATAATTGTAAAGCACTGCCCAAGTACAGCAATTTTCGAACTGCAAAAATATTTACACTGGCTGCAGTGTCTGTCTGAGATTTCTTGAACAAAGTTTTATTATACATGAAGGTAAAGTTCTGCTACGTTTTAGGGGTTATAAAAAAAAAACAGGGATGACCATTTCAACATACCATAAAATTTTTCTACATCTGTACCGGTTTCAAGATAGTTCTCTGCTCAAGGCAGTAGGTTACCTGATGGTAATGGGTCACAATGCCAGACCCCTGGACAATGCCTTGTGGTGAAATTAAGCATTTGCTATTTAAATACACTGTAGTGTTTGCACTAGACTTCTGTTTCTGTCTTCATTGTAAAGCAATTCTTTGGGTTACTCCCCTACCAAGAGCAATCCTGTAACAATAAAGAGGCTGTTTGTTGTTTTCCTTGAGTTAGTCATATCATAGTGTCACTGTTAAAACGAAAGCGCAGTTAACAGTGATTAAAAATATCTGCTCAAGCATGCCCTCTAGATGTTTTTCTTCTTAGATACACAAATTGAATAGACCTGCAAGACTACTTTTTTTCCCCTAGACACAGCACCAGAGTAGAAGCTTCTCCTTCCAGGAGGATTTTTTCCACAGTGGGGTGGTAGGGGTATTCTAGGCCAAGTTCTGCACAGAGGCTGCCCAAACATGTCTTCACTGGGCTACTTCAATATAGCATTTCACAGCCACCAGGGACTTGTCACTGCTTCTACTACAGTGCTCAGTAGTACTTCTCAGCTTGGACCCGTGTGCCAGATGAGTGCCAGGCACATTGAGTCCCCTCTTTCTCACCTGCATCATGCAAGACACAACATCTTGCCTCTCTGACTGTTCCAGGGATCACCAGCCTCCAATGCTCCAAATCAGCCAGGAGGAAGAGGTAACCAACAGCTCCTGCTGGAATGACAAAGGCAGCCAGCCTGGTGCTGACACTCCTTTTTTCCCAGAACACATAAAGCTAGGCCAAAGTATTCCTCAAGTAGCACCTGCAAGCCCCTAGCTACCATGTGAACAAGAAGAAATCCCTGTCTGATGGCTCTGCCCATTTCCAGCATGCTGTAAGGAAAGAAGAGCTGTCCATGGATGGTGTGGAATTGTCTGGAAACTGTGTGTTTTCCCTGATTTCTAATTAAGTGAATTTTCTTTACATTGAATGTGTATATGACATTATGGCGAGCATGCAAATAGCAGGGAAGAACCTGAACTGTTCCAGAAAATCCTGCAATTGCACGTTTGAAAGTAGTGCACAGAAGCTAACTTCTACCTTCCCACTCAATGACAAAGGAAACATTCTTTCCCCTTTTCTAGTAAGTGTATCTATACATGGTGTAACTGGGCAAAATGGCCATTTCCATTTCTGATCATTTGCACAACTATAGCTACTGGGTCACACTGCTGCTTTCCCAGAAACAATGTTAAGACAGAATACTAAATGCCAGAAAAATACAACTATGTCTCAAAAAACCTGGAGTCCAAGACAGCTGAACTGCTGGTAAAGAAAACCAAATCCAAATGCCTGGTCCTGATAGCGTCAGGCCACTGCAGAAAGCTCATCTCCCATTCTAGAAGGCTATTAAAGGTGCTTATGGAATCAATCACACAACATGGATCTCCTTATCACACACAGTACACTTCCTAAATTTGACGGTTGCTTAGAGGTTTGCCTTCTTTGGTTGTTTTCAGTGTTATTTTTTTCAATTTTACATAAAAGCTGGATGCTAATTGCAAATTAATTGAGACTAAACTATCAGCAAGAGTTCCGGGATTTTTTTCTTCCCTTCCCTCCTTGACATTTTCAGTCAGACATGCATCCCCGTGCTGCTATTTTACACTTGAAATTGCATTCGGTACTAAACTGCAAGCAGAACTCACTGGTCCACCTAAAGTCAGCATTCTCATAACCACAGTCAAATTGAAGAGCAACTGAGAAGGCAAAGCAAATTCTCAGCATAACAGCTCCCTGCATTTCTTGTCTCTGAACTGCTGTTATCCGCATGAACCCTGAAGGCAAGATATGTAACTCTGCTTTCAGTTATCAGATCTTAGATTTGCACAGTTTAAAACAAATACAACCAGTAGCTCCTATAAGTCACAGCATCTCACGTGAACATCGTTCCAGGCTCATGGATTTTCTGTCCACATTGCCCCCAGCAACATGTCAAGGGTCAGCCTGAATTATGATTTAAGGTGAACCCCATTATCTGGAGGCTACGCTTTCAGTTCTCCCCACCTTTCCAGTATCACCAAAGGTCATGCTAACTGCTTTCTTTGTCAAAAATCTGTCCTCCCCTTCAGTTTCTTCAAATCTAACCCCACTAAACATCACCCAGATCCCCCTTTTTGCTGACCTCAGCTCAGCAGTTTACCTGCAGAGCTACTTAAAATTTAATTCTGATTATCGGTACTTTAAGACGGCTGAGATACTTTGGCTAACATACCTTCTGCTCACACAACATTAAGACGCTGCAGAGAAATGAACGGTATGATTTTGCACTATAATTACGTTTCAGCTATGCCTTCAAAACAGTTTGCTGCATCAGAAGCTGCTCGGTGGAGGATGCAAGAGCACAGCGCTGCCAGCGGCACTGGCACCACGGATACTTACAAACTCGTACAACTGCAGTGAAAGCTGCACTGGCCTCTGCTTGAAACTGAGGTTTCACACCTTGCAAGTACTGCCCGAGTCAAAAGTAGGAGCAAACTTCAGAGAAAGAATAACCCTGGCCTAAATACTGCACGTGGACCGGTGTACCACAGTCTCCGAGGGCAAACGCTCGCCCGACGCTGCCGCCTCGCAAGCGAAGCAGCGACTACGGACCGTAAAGGCAGAACGCCCTGCGCGCCCGCATTCCCTCAGGGCTGCACAGCCCTGCGTGCGAAGGCCCGGGGGAAACACACTGCCTGAAGGGTGTCCCCGCTCCAGCCTGACACCTCTCTGATGAGCGCAGCGAGAGCAGGCGGCGAGGGCGATCAGCAGCGGCGGCCGCGGGCAGGGCCTCCCTCACACGCTTCCCGGGGGGACGCGCGGCCCCCGCGCCCACGGCCGGGGCTGGGCGAGCCCTCGCGGCCGATGCGCCCGCCCCGACCCCGCGGCCGCATTCCCGGTCCTGCTCCAGCTCCAGCTCCAGCTCCAGCTCCAGCTCCCGATCCATCCCCCCTCACCTACCCGGGCGCCCGGCGGCCCCGGCGGCGGGGCGGGACGCGGCTCCACCGAGCTCAGCAGGCCCGGCCCCGGGGAGGACCCGCCGCGCAAGGCGGGCCGGCTGCGGCGGAGGGGGCGCGGCGCTCCCCGGGGAGTTTGGTCCCCTCTCGAGTTAAAGGGGGTGTGTGTCTTTCATGGGTTATTTATCCCCTGAGGAACACGCTGTTATCCCTGTTACCACTGCACTGACCCTCGTGTGTAACAACACTTCGGGCCCCAGTGGAGCCTGAACAACTCGGGGTTTCAAATATCAGATGTAACCTACAGTAAACATCAACCAAACAGAGATGGCCTTTGTGAGCGAGACTGAGCGAGACCATGGTCGAACAGAGCCTGTGCTGTGGCATAAAACAGCCCTGCTCTTTCAGATGGGGCCACCCTTGTCTGCACCCTCTGAGATAACGGGGCAGGTTTGTGTTAGACCGCAGGACCAGGGCAGTGACCATTCCCCACGAACTTGGCACTGGGGAGGCCACACTTTGAATCCCGTGTTCAGTTTTGGGCCCCTCACAATAAGAAAGATAATGAGGTGCTGAAGCAAGTCCAGAGAAGGGAAATGGAGCTGGTGGAGGGTCTGGAGCACAAGTCTGATCAGGGCCAGCTGAGGGAGATGGGGGCGTTCAACCTCTGAAAGGAGGTTGTAGTCAGGTGGTGGTCAGTCTCTTCTCCCATGTAATAAGCAATAGGGCAAGAGAAAATGGCCCCATATTGTGCCAGGGAAGGCCTAGATTGCATATTGGGAAAAATTTTTTCCGCCAAAGGGTTGTCAAGCATTGGAACAGGCTGCTCATGGAAATGGTGGAATCACCATTCCTGGAGGTATTTAAAAGCCAAGTAGGTGCAGCACTTAGGGACTGTTAGTGGTGTGCTCAGCAGTGCTGGGTTAACAGCCAACTCAATGATCTTAGGGGTCTTTTCCAATCTAAGCGATTCTGTGACTCTATGAGGTGATTTTACTGACAAACAAGCCTTGTGAGCAGTAAGTTTCAGGGAAACAAACTTTCTGGAAACAAATGTAAAACCAGCATTAATACACTCTCATTGTTTAGTGCCCCATACCTTCCCGCTGGTAACCATGCTAATGCTGCATTTATTTGATCAGTGTGTTTCTTTTGGTTGAAGGGAAGGAGGTTCTAATAGAGAGAAATAAAACTTGTGTCATTGAAGGCAATGGCAGAATGTAGCACCTACCAGTTTTCAGCTGAAGCAGCTTATGTTGGTCTTCAAGTTTTCAGCTTTTATTGCACTGGAATCCCCACCTTCTTCAGTATGCATTAACTGGTGGCATGAGTGACAAGAAAAAGAAGAGCCGAATTAAAACGAAAAGGAAGACCTTTATTTCCTTCCAGATAGATAGCTTTTTCCCAGCTGTACCTGCTCCGTGGGACACTCAGTGGCCATACTGCAGTCTGCAAAGCACCCAGAAAAGACCTGGTGCCTCAGTGTAACCAATAAAGAGAAAACCTTAACATAAATGTTGCCTGAGCAGCATTTTTCACAGACAGTAAAGCACTCACACAGATGAAAAGTTGGCTGGAAGCAGGTACATGCAGAAGTGAAAATACTCAAATCACTGTTTAGATACATTTTGGCAGCTAAAAAGGGGCTCAGACCGAGTCTGTGACTTATGGGAAATGAAGTATTTTTGTTGGTAGTTATCATTTCACATCTTCAATAAAAAACAATCTTCCTGTGCCAAGGCAGTGCTGCAATGCATGGAGTTAGATGCATTACTTTTAAGGAAAGAGTGATAGGAATTATTTGCTTTTAAATTAGGTCCCAAATCCATTTCTTTCAGCTTTCCTTCATATTCTTGTTCTTTTCCCATCTTCACAATGGAATACACATAGTTTTGGTTATTTCCCCATTGAAATACATTATTCCAAACCAGGAGCTTGAAAATTCTAAATTATTTTCAAAGTTGCATAGACTGGATTTCTGGTAGATAATTAGTTTCCTTTCATATATACTGTTTACAAATTGAAACCTATTGAAGTATTATAACCTTAATAAGGGTGTGGGAATTAAAATACTCCTAAGCCTCATTCCGTAACAGGAGCACTCCAAGGCGTTTGCAAGGCTGGCTCTCTACCTTTATAAACAGTGTTACATAATATAGAAGTGGAAAAGTCTCTTATCTGAGTGGAAATATGAACCAAACTGCCTTCAAGGTAAACATAATTCAGTAAAATCTGAATCATTAGTGTTGTGCTTGTATTTTTTGTGTTTCTATAAAAGAAAGAATTTTAAAAGAGGGCTATCAGAAGCACTACATAATGAAAATATTGCCCTTATTTATTTTACAGTACATTTACATGCCGTTTTACTGTCACAACATCATTTTGCTGAATCTTGTAGTGCAAGATCAGTACACTGATTCTCTTTGGGCTTTACTCTGTCGCTGTCATTCATAGGGGGATGTACCATGGGGGTCATGCCACAGGTTTTCCGTGTGACTACGAGTGTCTGCAGTAAGTTACTGCCACATAAATATCATCAATTCGTAGGTAGAGGTCATTGCAAAAGAAGCAAAGTCTGTCCAATAAATTTGCTACCTTGAGACGACAGTAGAAGGCTACAGACTAGACCAGTATTCCCAGTGGAGTCTGACATACCAACAATAAAGGTATTTTCCTGGTTCTGTGAGGTGGAGCTCTGCACATGTGCCGAGGGAGATAAAGGCAGCAACTTAGAGCAGGCCTGAGATGTATGTGCAGTGGGGAAGACTGAAATGTAGCTCAGAAATGTAGAGGCATTAAAGTTAGTGCAGTGTGTAAATAAATAAATGCCACAGAGCCTGCATATGGTTCCAGAATCAGGCACAATGGAAGGGTGATTAGGATAGGAGCTACAAAAATCAATATATAAGTAGCACAAGGGGATGCCCAGCTTTTTGAAAATCCTAATTGCAACAGAAATATAAGTGTTAGAAATGAAAACTGGACCTGGTTGCAAATTAGCTTCTAGGGTAAATGAGCACAGTGTGAACTTCAGTCCATTCTTAATGTACACGGTCAGATTAATCCTTTTGCACTTACATAAGGAAAAAAAAAATCTGAGTGAGGTTTTGCATTCACTCTTTTTTCTAGGATAGCTCTTCTGAAATTAGAGAATATGCAAGACATAATTTAAAATCACAAATCTAATAGCATCCTGACTTGTGTGGTGACCTATTAATGAACTAGCTCGCATTTTGTTGTGCCTCTGTTAGAATCCAGAGTTTAAAAAGTGCACTACTTTGTAAGAAAACATCAACACATAAAAACAATTTGTAATATATTTAGCATATACCTTCATACTGATCTGAATTTTAATGAAAATCTCAATAAATTAGAAACAAAATCATATTAATAAAAAAGGAGAAAGCTTGCTATTAAGAAGAGTTGACTGCTCTTGTTTAATCAAGAAGCTGTCAACACAGAAAGTGTATGGGAAAGAATTCTTTATCGTTACCCAGGAAAAGGCACAACAAACTTCAGTAAAAAACCTGAGAACCTCAGACTACAAATCCACTGAATTAATTGTGTCAGACCAAAACCTAGCACTAAATGGAAAATCATCGTCACATTATTTTTCAGAAGAGATGGCAAGGAGACAGAAAAAAAAAAAAAAAAGATCATCTTGCAGTTTGGAGTGTCTATATTAATTCTCTATTATTTACACTAAAACTACTCTATGTTGTCCAAGCAAAATGTTTGCAGAGTGGAAAAAGTATGGAAGATGTGATGTGACTATGTAGCTTTTTTAGTCATCCTGCACTTGACAATACCCACGAATCTCTCCCTTTGCCAGCCTTCTCCAATGACTGTTTCCCCCCCCCAAAGAAAGTTCAGACACAAACAATGACTACTACACAGACAGTTTCTAAGCACTTAGAAGAGGTGTGCATATAGCCCAAGGAAGGTTGCTGTCTGAGAAAATATGATACACTTGGCATTGTCTTCTCTTTACGAAAGAATGTTAATGGCAGGTTGGAGACGGCCAGTGATACCTCCCCAAGGTAAGGCAGTTTTCAAGGAGGAATGGCTCCACAAAGCCATGAATTACTCTGTCCAAGCCACATCATTAAAAATGTAATGATTATGGAGACCATATGTTTTTCCTGTTACAGAATTAGTCATTAAATTCTGCCTTTTCCAGTCAGAAACTGGTCTTGTAGGCAGGATGACAACTTTATGAAGAAAATAAAATAAGCACAGTTATAGTCTTTTTATACACATATATTCTAATAAAAGCCTTTTAAAAAAGCATGTAAGATGGTCAGGTTTTTTGCCAGTTTCACATACTATAGGAATGAAATACAGACCCACAAATTGTTCAATTTTTCAGTAACGGCTCACCAAAAAAAAATCTAAGTAATAAAAAACAAATTCCCCAGTGGGCTGTAAGTAAAAATACATTTTAAAAGACAGAAAAATGCCAGATTTTGAACATACAGGATTACTTCAGGAATAGTGGCTGTGAAATGCACTTCACTCAACAACACTGCAGTGTTAGCTGAAAACCTCTTTACTAAACACAAAATTGGTATTGGAGAAACACGAGCAAGAAGCTGTTAAAGCAACATCTAAATGAACAGCCACACCAACAGCAAGAGATGCACCCAATAGAATTTCTCCACAAAATACACATTTTCTAGACAAGATTATAACCAGAGCCCTCAATAGCTCATGAGGTTGTTTCTAGTGACTAAGGCAGGTGTGGTTTTTTGCTTCTGAGGTTCAAATCTTGGCAACCCGCAGTTGAGCACGACAACCTGTAGGAGCAACAACTTAGCTTCAGACAATTCATACACCCAGCTTGTCACACACAGGGTTTTTTAGAAACACCATGTTTTTGAAAGCTTCACTCCACTTCTCTTTCTGAGGATGGTCCTGGGTAGGTCAACCTGTGAAACTGAAGTT